CCCCCCCCCGCCCCCCCCCCTCAGTTTCCTTTGCAAGATGCAGTAGTAACACTACAGAGACTTGTGGTTAGGAATGTCTCATTCTTTTCCTTAGCATCTATGTGACATTTCTGGGCGCTTTTCTATCAAGACTTTTAAGGAATGACACCTCACTTAGAGCGCATGTCAGGTTCTGTGCTTTTGAGAACTGCTGACTTCACCCCCTCCATCTATGGTCCCTGCTGCGTAAGAGCAATTCCCACCTGTAGGCTTAGAAAGCCATTTGAGAGCAATCTGCTTGTGTATCTCTGTCTTCCAGATGGATTCTGTTCTTGATATTGTCTCAGGAGAGAAACAGCTTGATAATGAGTATAAAAAATTGAGTATGTCTGAGCCTTACATTATGAGAGGTATCTTGTCTGGGTGAATGAAAGGCCTGAGGAAGATTAAAAAGGAGGTTGTTTCTCGTGGATGGTAAAGCATACACGCTTTGGTATGGAGTTCTGAGAGAAATTGATAAAATAAAATAGGGTTCCTTCGCTCCCAGCCACATTCAGGCATTTAAATAATTGAGCTAAATAAACACAGCAGCAATATTTGTATATGAATTTCTTTTTTCTTTTTGCTATATTTGTGTTGATTTTATTTTATCTTTAAAACACATTTGAAGTAAGACCACTAACCTCCAATTAAATAGCCTGTATGCACTAAGAAATAGAGATAAAAGCCAGGATTTGAGCCAAGGCACAATAGATCAAGTATACAGATCATATATAAATTCTGCCCAATAAATAGATTATGGTAATTTTCTGTAGGCTGTGGAAACCTCTCCTCTTTCCTTTCTGTCTTGAAACCATCTTAATTACTGATTTAATTTATTAAAATCTTCCTATAAGAATTAGAAAGATCCAGTTGCTATGGTGTAATAAGATAATGAAATATTTTACAAAAATCAGTTCAAGCTGGTAATGAAATATTTTACAAAGATCAGTTCAAGCTACAGGTGAGCTCTTGATACTTCAAATATATATACAGAAAACAAGACTTTATTTTACATTCCACCAAGAAAAAAGTCTGCATTAAATTTTAAATCTAAAGATTAAAAAAATGTGCTCAGATGGAATTCTTACACAACCTGACAATTAGATAAAATATAAATACATTTAACTTTAAATGTTTTTTAATTTCTGTATTTCTTGATAAAATTGATACTTTTTGGAGGTCTGTTTGCAACACAATGATGGATATTCAGACAGAATTCTGCAGTCAAAAAAATGTTTACATTAGTATTTATAACATACCTAAAGTGAAAAAATTACTTTTGATTTATTTACTTTTGCTTCTGTGCCAGCAGTAATAAACAATGGTGAAAGAATGACGGGAATTTTTTTTATCGATGAAGAGTTCAAGCAGGCCTGACTAGCATGTTTGAGGTCACATAATGGATGTGAGAAAGGCTGGGACCAGGTTTTCTAAATCCCAGTAGATGGTAGAATTATAGTATTTTGGAATCTGCAAACTGCTTGCAAACCGCCTGTGTGGTGCATTAAGCCTTTGGAGGTGTGAAAAGAAAGCTTGATATTTACTAAACGCTTTGAAGGTGATGATACTGTGTTAAATTAAAAGTTGTTTCTCATTAGGAGCTGGATTCCTTACCATCTCAAGTATTACATGATCTCTTCTCAAGAATATTAATTTCCTGTTTATTCTGTATGGTATTTCCTGCTAACTTGCTATTATCATAATCCAGATACCTGGAAGATACAAAATATATTAAAATTCATACACAGTTACATATATACTTGAACAGTATATATCCAAACAACATAAAGTCATCACTGTTTCAGTTAGTCCATAAGGATGCTGAAGTCATTAGTTTTTTGCATTTCATTTAATGAACTGATGATAATGTTCATGTTCAGCTATGTAATCTTTTATATGTACATTAATTTTTAAGATATTCCTGGATGTATAGTTTAAATAACAAATAGTTCATTTAATTTTTCACGGAGTATCATAAATCTGTACTGTATCACTAACCCAAACTGACTTGTAAATGAGGAACAAGGAAGACAAGGAGAGATCATGACCCAGTGCATCAACTAATGGAAAAACAGTTTGCTCCAGTAGTAGTGAAAATAATATCTTCTTCTGAGGAGATTATAATAAACCTAAAGTTGATATAGTACATTTTTCTTGAATGGGTACATGTTATTTATCTATTTTTCATAATATTAAAGCGATATAAAGTGTAGGCCTTTTGATCTCCATTATACATGTTTTAAAAAATTGTTTGAAGTCACCAAGATGTTAGAGCAGTTGTTTCAAGGAACTTAAGCCATTTGGAAGGTTTAAAAACAAAGGTAGATTCCAGAAAGGTAGTAGATTGAACTGGCACTCCTCCCTTCCCCCCCCCCCCAAAAAAAAAACCAACTGAAGGAAGGAATCATGCTGTATCATTTTAAGTATAAATCCACATTGAAGGCTGGACAATAAAAGTGGTTATTTAGTGGTAATGGTGAATCCAGAGCCAATCTCCCACTGCAGGGAGCCAACTCAAAAATGAACAGAAACTGATTCCTTAGTAGGGGGAAGAGAAGAAAACTAATATAGATAGAATTTGTTGAAAGTCATTTATGTAACTTTTAAACTTTAGAACCCTTTCCCATTGTAAATATTCCTCTTTCCTTCCCTTCCATTATGAATACCCCTCTCCCTTCCAGTTCGTTTATTCTCTGGAGAAAGTAACAAGGCTTTCTTGGTTGAGGGATGCCAAGTATTATTGAATACAGGAGTTCAGTATGGGAAATGGGAGGCATTCATACACACATACTGCATTTGAAATACCCAAGAAATTGTGTGGGTGTAAAAAATCACTCTAGTTACCCAGAGGATGAAAGCCAGATCATTACTTCCCTCCTACTTTCCAGGTAGAATATTTAAAAATCTTACATGGAAAACTTGGCCTACTCTAGAAGATTATGATACTGATGTCTAATTAGTTCTTGACTTGATCTTTACAGGGAAACCCGAGTCACTAGGCCACGTGCATGCACTTCAAGCACCTTTTATCTCCCACTCTTACATAGGCAACCACATAGGAAAAATCTGAGAAAAACTCTAACATGAGATCAAATATTAAATAACAAAATAACTTGAGAGGGGAAGACTATCATTAATGCCATCAGGAGGTATCAGTTGCTATTGCATTTATTGCTATTCATGAGACAATAGGATGCTTTAAAAATAACAACCACACACAGACACATTTAAAATTATCAGAAATTACTTAGAAGGCATGGAAGATAATGTTGAATAATATAAAAAAAGGACAGATAAGCAAAATGAAAATTAGGAGAAAAGCAGAGAACAAGTGTGGAAAATTGAACGCTGGCATAATAGGGGCACTGACAGATATAATTCATAAAAATATCCCACAATTGAAGGGTATAAATTCCCATAATGAAAGAACCCACAGAGTTCCTAGTATAAAGGATGAAAACATCCAGTTCAGGCACATTATTGTAAAACTGGGATCAAAAGTAATCTACAGACTTCCAAAATAAAAATAAATAAAATAAAAAGGGTAATTTGTGCAAATCAGAATGGCTTTGAAGCTAGAAAAAATACTTTTATGCCTTATTTTAATAAATGATTTCTAGTCTAGAATTCTGTAC